AGAGAATGGGAAGTTGTCTATGGAACAGGGTAATAGGGGAAGAGTCTTTCTTGGAAAAATGGTCTTTCCTCCTACCCTGACAATAGGAGAGGTGGACGGCACTGTTTGCCCCCAGAATTCTGTCAGGACTGAGAAGGTAGCCCCAGTGTCAAGGAGAAAGTCATCCTTGCACCTATCCATCTGAATCCGCACCCTGGGTCCCTGTATATTGATTATTATGGCCAGGGACAAGGACCCAAGGCTCCATCAATCTTCGATTGCCATGCCCAAAAGGTCAGAGGGTTCCCTGGCCATAGGCCTCCCACGGGATCTAGGACAGTCAGAGCCCCAATGACCTTGTTGTTGACATTTAGGGCATGGGGTACACGGAGTGTGTGGTGCAGGGCATTCCCTGGCCCAATGTCCCTCCTTGCCACACTTGAAGCAGGTGCCGGGGTGGGTAGGTTGACCTGTGGTGATGGGCAGCGACCCAAGGAAGCACCCTGCAGGGCCTGGGCGAGCATCTGAAATTTCTCAGTCTGGGGGGTGGCAGGGCCTTGTTCGAGCTTTTTTAGTTTGGCCCAGATGTTGGGGTAGCTTTGCAAGAGGAAATATGTCATAAGGACATGATGGCCATCTGGGGTTTTGGGATCTAGGTTATTGCTTAAGGGTTTTTGTAAGCTGATCCAGAAATTCCAATGGGGTCTCTTGTAAATTTTGGAAATTATCAGCCTTATGTGCCACTTTTTTGAGCCCAGCAATAATACATGTGGAGAATCGGTCCCTACTCTGTATGCCAGCTTGTGTATAATCCCAGTTGGGAGTTTGATCTGGGGCAGCAAGTGGCCCCGGAGGGTGATTTGGATTAACTCTGTGAGTTTCGTCCGCATGGGCTCTGGCAAGTTCCCAGACTCTGGTACATTCCTCAAGGAGAGTATTAGCCAATAACATATAAGTGAGGCTATAAGCCTGGAGGACCCATTGAAACTCTCTTATGAAAGTGGTGGGATCTGTGGTGAATGAGCCCAACCTTCGCTCGAGTTGCATGAGGTCATTCATAGAGAACAGGATATGTACCAGGATAATGCCCTCAGGTCCGGCAACCTCTCTTAAGGAGGCCATGATTTGTGGGACTAGGGAGCAGGACCTAGTTTGGGGGAAACTAAAGGTGTCAGCCGAGTCAGGGGGAGCACCTGAGGGGCTGGACGGAGCCGATGTGGGAGGTCGGTAGGGAGGGGGTTCATCTGCCAGATAAGTCGGGAGAGAATGAAGAAGAGAAAAAGCCTCAAACATAGGGGAACTCCTTCCACTTTTTCGAGTGCTTGCAGAAGTTAAACAGCTCTCTGAGAATTGTGGGATCTAGGGATCCTCCTGGGGGCCATTGACTTTGATTGTCTAATTGATAGTAAGGCCAACCTTGTGTGCAGAATTTAATAAGGGGGAGTCTGCAGGGAGGAAAGAAGAGGCCCCCATAGGTCAGGAGAGGGACAAGGGTGGTTGAGAGAGAGAAAGAGAGAGAGAGAGAGAGGAGTGCCTGTTCTTCCACCCCTCAGGACCTCCCGCTCATGAACCAGGTTCCAGAGAGTCCACTGTGACTGTGAAGGTCGTGGTGGGGTGCATTTCTCTCCTCCAGATTGGGCGTCAGAGGTTTGCTGGACGATCACGGTCAAAGCCCCTGTGTAGCCCGTCTGAAGTTGGATACCCGATAGGGGAACTCACCTACTGAAGAGCCAGTGTTGTGTGAGTAGTAGCAGTGCTGAAAGAGTGGACGAGGACGGCAAGCCTTGAGAGAGGGGGGCCCTTGAGCAGCGAGGCATTCCCCCTCCTGGGTCTCGGCACCAATGAAAGATCGAACAAGGCTCGTCGTCGGAGAAAATGCCTGGTTATTGAGGAACAGCTCTGCATATTTATAGAGCCAGGGGTGGTTTGACAGTTATGACAGTTTAACGGTTGAAGGGTTTGACAGCTGGCATGGGGTGCTTTCTGATTGGTGGGTAAGGATCATGTGAGCCAGCAGGGCTCACCATTGGATGGCTCTTCTCGGGGGATGGGGAAGTTAGTCTTTGGAGTGGGGGGGACTCCCAACAGTGAGCCCCAGCCTACAGTCTGTTTATGTAAATATAGTTTTATTGGCACATAGTCAGTCATTTATATTGTCTATGGTGGTTTTTGAGCCACCATGGCAGATTGAGTACTTGCAATAGAAACTCTAGAGCTCATAAAACAATGTATTTACTGTCTGCCCCTCTAGATCACTGTGCCTGCCTGGGGGTCATCTCATAATGCAGAGGCTTCAGATGACAATTCCCAGGCCAGGTGTCTTGTCGCTCTCCCACAGTGGCAGGCACCGCCTCTGCAGGTCACTCGAGGCTGTGTGACTTTGGGCACTTGGGTCTCCAGAGGCTGAATACCCTTCTGGTTTGGACTGATGCCTGCACAGTGGCAGCCAAGTGACATGGCACTTTTGGTCAGCAGGAAACAGATGGCGACTCAGAATAATTCCAGGAGTGTTTAATAAAGTGATGATCTACAGGGTGAGGGCTAGGTGCAGGAAAGTCACTGGATATATGAAAGTGGCAGAGTCCTCAAGGGCCAGTAGAAGCCTAGCTGTGATCAGCCTAGGCAGGAGGGGACAGGGGAAGGGAGCAATTCCTGAACCTGAAAGGAGAGTCATTTCGAGGGGACAACTTAGGAGGAGCAAAGACCTGCAGTTGGGGGAGGCATCCAGCTCCAGGTGACCCTGTGGGAAGGGAATCAGCAGCACAAATACCCCAACTTCACCTTTCTCCATCCCTGATGTAATGGGGTCCCCATAGGCCAAACTGCAAGGGAGGCCACAGGGCATGGAGTCTTCGTATGGCCCCTGTGTGTCAGCTTCCCAGGATGGAGCCAAATAGAGAAGGGTAGAAAGGGAGTATGGAAGGGCAGACTGACACGTGTCCCTGGCACTGACTTAGAAAGCCAGGGATCAGATTCCCTAGCCTCCTGACAGAGGCACATCCGCATCTCCCTTGCAAGTTGGTAGTTTGGCCTAACAGGTTGCCATAGCTTTGCACTCTTGCTGCCTCCTCCTGGATCTGCCAGCCTCCAGATGGTTATCATGGGCTTAGTCTTCCTGGATTGTATCCTCACGAGAAGGGTAGGAAGTTACGCACAGAAGCATAGACAAACTATTCTGTGTGTGTGTGTGTGCGCGCACGCGTGCACGCGCGCACGCATGCCTGCATGTGCATATGTGTATACATGCCTAAGCAGTCTGATTAATCTGTGTCGACTTTAGCTAAAGTTCCTCCTCACGTCCCATCTTTGGATTTCAGGAAGAATCCCATTTATCTCTGCAGCCAGCTCAAGCTCAACAAACAGGTGAGCCGGTCTCTGGCCCCTTGGGAGAAAGAAGAAGAGTGAAAAAAGCTAACCATGCTGGTAAATATCCCCAGAAAAATCTGCTTTATTGGCCAGATCCCCCTGATGCCAACACACACATACACACATGCAGATTTCCTCCACTGGCGTCTGAGATGACAAAACTGCAGCATGTCACCTGGAGGGGCTTCCCTGGTGAGTTCAAAAGCTTAGTTTATGAGAAACCTGGGCTCACAGGGAGGAAGGGCATGGCTTAGGCAGCATGACCACCTGTAGCAGAACTGGGGCCAGAATTCAGGACTGGGGACTCCAATCATTTTCTATCTTTTTTTTTTAAAATGGAAGCCAAAAAATTGAAATTATCATAGAGTCCTAAGAATGGATTTGGCAAAAATGCAAATTGTAATGTGGTTGTAGGCAAGTTTCCTTGTCAGGTTCGGCAGTGGAGACCACACATCTGGACCCTGGACCCCCAGGATACAGCTCTGTGCAGGCAGGATGAAGCATAGGCTTGAGATAGACAGTGCCAGTCAAAATCCACACTCCCAGCTGTTAATAGCTGTCTTGACCTTGAACTTGTTATTTCTCATGTCAATGAAACTCAGTTTTCTCATCCTATAAATATGACACTATCACCAACCACAGAGTTGTATTAAATCCAATTCCACATAAGCAAGTACAGAGCAGGGTCTGAAGGTCAGCAAACAACACTTTTCTTGTCTTTTTCTTCCAACTGGAAGCTTCCTGAAATATTCTTTAAAAAGACAGAAGCCAACTACTTTGAGTGTGGCAGTTAGAGCTTTGTGCTCTAACGATAAGGAATGGGGACCCTGCCTGGGAGCGTGGGGAGGCTTCTGAGGTGTCAAGAATGCTACTGCATTCTCATGGACTTGAGGGTAATTAATAAAACCACGAGTTTCTCCTCCCTCTTTCCCCTCAAATTTCTTCAGAGAAATGAAGAGTTCATACTCATAGCCGGAGTGCTCAGGTTTTAAATTAGACAACTTTGTCCTGACAGGAACAGAGTCACACCTGTCATAGCCGATTATTTTTAGAGTTACTACTAAACCCTTTGTACAGCAGGAGCTGCCACTGTTCAAGGCAAACAGAAAGACTTCACATTTTATCATGACAGCTTGGGGGCCGTCCACCCCCTCCTGTTCATTATTTCCAGCCCGTCTTTGGAAGGGATGATGCGGCATCCTGACACTCTTACAGCGAGGGAGGCAGACCCTGGTTACTACACCCAAGAGATTTAAAGCCCTCAAAGCAGAGGAAAACCCCTCTGCCTCCAGGAAGCCAAGGAGGATTGTTCCCAGAGGAATCCGCAGCTCCATCGCTTGCTTTTGATAAACCATCAATCGCTCTGGAGAGATGAAAAATGACCCTTGTGGAACCAACCAATCAGAGCCCCTGTATGCAAATGCACGCAAGTGCGGGCCAGGATTGGCCCGCTTGAGAGTGACGTCACAATTCTCTTCCTCTGACCCAACAATAGGACCACCACTGAAAAGGCCAACCTGGGACTGCAGCTCTTCCCAGAGAGAAAAAAATCACCACAAGCGGAGCACCTTGTAGATTGATTGCTCCTGGATGTGCCCGCAAAAGTCTCTGCTGTCCAAGGTACTGAATCCAGAAAAAAGCATGATCTTGTGAACATGGGAGAAGAAGTCCAGCTGAAGCCCAAGGTGAACGTCTCTTCCTACATCCACTTTTTGTTGAATTTCAGAAACAAACTCAAGGAACAGCAGCCAAATACCTACCTTGGTTTTAAAGATTTCTCTAAAAAGTGTTCAGAAAAATGGAGATCCATCTCAAAGCATGAAAAGGCCAAATATGAAGCCCTGGCCAAGCTCGACAAAGCCCGCTATCAGGAAGAAATGTTGCACTTCGTTGGCAAGAAGAAAAAACGTAGAAAACGGGACCCCTTGGCCCCCAGACGGCCTCCATCATCCTTCCTGCTCTTCTGCCAAGATCACTATTCCCAGCTGATGAAGGAGAACCCCACCTGGTCAGTGGTGCAGGTAGCAAAGGCCAGTGGGAAGATGTGGTCTACAGAAACAGAGATGGGAAAGCAGCCATATGAACAGAAAGCAGCTCTCTTGAGAGTGAAGTACTTTGAGGAGCTTGAAGTCTATCGGAAGCAAAACCATGGCATGAAGAAAATCCTGGCTAAGAACCAGCAGAAAGGCAAACCTGGGTTGGGAAAAACGGATACATCCAGTCCAAAAAAATAAAGTGCCATTGAACTCTACTTCCTGGCCCTGGTCTCATGAGTGGTATTTGAATAGCTGTTGCCACTTGTGTTGGGGAATTGAGTGGCTTTGGAGAGAGGTTGGGACTGGGGGTGGGGGGTGGGCGGTGGCTTGGAGAACAGGTGGCAGCAATGTGTAAATTGCGTGGAGCAGAGATGTGAAGGTCAGAGTCATGAGGCAGGAGCCCCAGGTTCCAAGTGGTCTACTGGGTTGGAAGACCCTCCTTGGGTCGGGGTCAGGTGTGGGAAGACTACTAGACCCAGCTCTGGTGGTGGGGGTGACAGGCTGGAGCACAGCTCATGGTTCCACTCTAGGTCCCATCAGAGAAACATGACAAGACTGTCAACAGGAGTGCACCCCATAGTGGCACCACGTCCAGCAAAGGTTAGGCAGCTGGACTTCAGATGGACTGGCAGGGACCCAGGGTTCCTCCAGTCCTTCTGGATACGAAGTCTCCAACAAGACTTAGCTTCCCTTAGTGGGCCAGGATGAAACCCCAGCAGTGTCCGTAGTTAGGACGAGAAGAGATGCTGATTGGGCAAATAAAATGAGGTTCCTGACCACAGCTCTTAGACTCGGAGCATGTTGAATATATAATCCCCTGGCACCCACTCCTCCTCTCCATCACACACAGCACCCCAACTCCCTTTTGTGACTCCCTTCTGGGACCAAGGCTTGATGAGAGGACAGAATCACTCTGGCCACACTGACTCATGGGCATATGACCCAAGCTGACCCCATTAGAGCAGATCTAGGGCTTTGTATAGGAGTCCTGGGAAGGGTGGCGCTCCCAGAGATGCTGCCAGCTGCCAGCAAATTACCACCCAATAGCCTAAGACCAAGGCCAAAATAGTAGAGCCCCTGGGCATCGATCCTCCTGGACATGACCCTTAAGATGTGACTGAATGTTTCTCTCTTTTGAACCTAGGATGGCATGAGTTAGGTTTTCTGCTTCTTGACGGTAATTTGACGTGAGCAGGATGGTACTACAAGTGTCTGTACAGTAACTGGATGTTTTTTCCCCAGGCCACAGTACACTGTGGGCAACGTTTCATTCCAATCAAGGTAGATTGAAACAGAATATTGTGAAATGGTTCTTTTGACTTCCTGATATCACAAAGGCTGGCCTCAGATGCTGAGCTGATTTTCTGTCCCCGAGTTAGGTATGTGGCACACTTCCCCGATGCCATGCCTAACCCCACTTTCTACTCCACAGCACCGTTTAAACTTCCAAAATAAAAGTAAAAATACATAGTTTCAAAATGTCTTTTAGAATTGTGTGAGCCATTAGGGATGAGAGGTAAAACAAGAACGATTTAGAAATTTATTGTCTGGAATCAGGCTGGTTAGGGAGTCTTCTCAAGTGCCGGGTTCCGTGTTGGGCAAGGGGAGGCGCCACGTGGACTGTTGTTAGGTCCTTGTCCTGCGAGAACTTTCCTTCCAGTGACAGAGATGGACTTGGCCTGAATCACAGCACTCCAAGGCACAATGAGGAGAGTGAATGCTGGGAGGGAGTGGGTACCACCCCTGACCCCACCCTGAAGTCTCCACGCGGGAGCAGCCTAGTCTCTTGGCAATGTGTCCTGGGCTGGCAAAGCTCCGGCTCCCCATCACCCCCAGCTGCTGTGCCAACTCAGTTCTGATTCCCCTCCAGCCCATCCTCCACCCTCTCAGGAGACACCCTCTTTTTCTGCTTCATTGAGAAAATAGAGATCATTAGACTTAAGTGCTCTGTTTTCTTTCTCAAAATGCACTTTACCCCCTTCGTTTCCTGTGGTCTCAGGTCTCCTGGGGCACTCTAGCCCTCCTCTAGCTACTCCCTGCCCTTCCTCTCTCAGGCCTCTGCTCCTCACTACAAGGATGCTGAGCCTTTGGTCTCAACTGTGCCCAAGTTCACTTGATGTTTGTTCCAGTCTTCATACTGGCAGGACCTTGGGCCAATGTGCATTGCTCTGAGACTTTAGCTTCTCATCTGTGGAATGGGATGACACCTGCCTTGCAGGCCATTTTGTTGAATATGTAAACATATTTGGCACAGTCCTGAACACCTGATAGGCACCGTGGTTGACACCCTCTAGAGTGGCAGTTCCATGATTCCCCCATCTGGTGTCTACACCATTGTTTGACCCCTTCCCATTAAATGTGGGCAGAACTTGTCACCTAACTTTTAATCAATAGAGCCTGGCAAAGGAGAGGGATGTCACTTCCCTGGTTATGTAATGGTATGTAATACCCCATCTCACTTCCCAGTCTGCCCAGAGATTCTCCTTGCGGTTCAGTGAAATAAGCAGCTGACTTTAGGAAACCCACGTAGCAAGAAATTGCAGGGAATCTCTAGCAGCCAAAGGCAGCCTGAGGTCTACATCCAGCAAAAAAAAAAAAAAAAAAGGAAGAAGCTCTCAGCCCTGCAACTGCCAGGATCTAGATGCTGCAGCAACCACACAAATGGGGCATGGATCCTGCCCCAGTTGAGCCACCAGCTGAGAACCAGTCCTAGTGGACACCTTGTTTGCAGCTGAATCCAGCTGTTCCTGGACCTCTGACCTGCAGAAGCTGTATAAGTGTGTGTTTACACATGAAAATGTTTAAACTATATAAACAGATATTTTTAAAAATTCTAATGAGTTATACATGACAGTAGAGTGCATTTTGATATATCATACATAAATGGTGTATAACTTCTCATTCTTCTGGTTGTACATGATGTAGAATCACACTGGTTGTATAATCATGTATATCTACAGGGTAATAATGTCTAATTCATTCTATTACCCTCCATAATCCCATATGCCCTCTTGTTCCCTCACTGCCCTCTGCCTAATCCAAAGTTCCTCTATTTTTCCCTAGCCACCCCGCCCCTCTTATTGTGAATTAGCATTCGCCTGTCAGAGAAAACATTCAGCCTTTGCCTTTTGGGGATTGAATTATTTTGCTTAGCATGATATTCTCCAGCTCTATCCATTTGCTTGCACATGCCATAATTTCTTCTTTAAGGCTGAGTAATATTTCATTATGTATATGTAGCACATTTTCTTTATCCATTCATCTTGAAGGGTATCTAAGTTGATTCCATAGTTTGGCTATTGTGAATTGAGCTGCTAAAAATATTGATGTGACTGTGTCACTGTAGTAAGCTGATTTTGGGTGTAGACCGAGGAGTGGGATAGCTGGGCAAACGGTCCATTCCAAGTTTCTGAGGAATCTCTATAATCCTTTCAGAGTGGCTGCACCAATTTGCAGTCCCACCAGCATGTATGAGTGTGCCTTTTCTCCACATTTAACCCACTAGGTTTGTGGCAACTTGTTGCACAGCAATAGGTGACTAATACATTGTTCCAAAACCCCAGCTTCCTCCATTCTCCCTCTAGTCTCTACCCGACCCCTTTAGTTTCACCCCAACACCACAGTGCTAACTAGACCCTAACTGTCACTATGCAGTGGTTCCCACGGGCTGTCTTGTTTTTCATCTGAACTGTGGGCCTTTGGTGGGCAGCAGCTGGGGCTGCACCACTCCTCTCTAGAAAGAGCCCTGGGGCCACTGCTCTCTGGTTTCCTGTGTGATGAATTATGGGAATGTGGGGAACCAAGTCAGAATCCTGATGAGCATGTGTAGTGCCCTCTGCTGGAAATCAAGTCCATAACAGTTCTTTATGGAGAAGACGAGGGGAGGGCCAGAGTCGGCCAGCCCCTAATGACCACAAAGTCCTGAGAGTCATGGGGAAGAGGGAAATCAGGCAGGGAATCCGGAGCAGGGCTGGCTTTCCAGGTCTACTCAGCTGGGCTCGGGGACCCTGTCTTTTGGAAAAGGAGGCAGAGCCTCAGGGCCCACCGTCACCTTGATGATCAAATCCCTCCAGTCTAATCCTTCTCTCCTGTGTTCACGCAGTCATGAATTGATGTATGCCATCAACAAACCAGCAACTGCTCTGGTGCTAGGGATACAGCAAGGTCCCTGATCCCCACATTCCAGGGAGGGAAGGAGAAACAACAAAGAAGTCAATGAATAAACATATCAGATCAATTTTTGGACTTTCTTCAAGCACTCTGAAGAAAATCAATGAGAGGAAGACTGGAGGGCACTCGGGATGGGCAGGCAGAGGCTGTCTGTGGGATGATGTTTGGGTTTAGACTTTCAGGACAAGGAACCAGAAGTCTGAGGAAGAGTCCTTCCATCAGCAGGGGAGCAAGTGCAAAGGTCCTGGGGCTTTGAATAGGAGTCCTGGGAAGGCGTGGCATATAAGAGGGACAGAAGTGGGAGCATTGGTGAGTTGCCTTTGGACAGGTGCAGGCCTTGGCAAAGGATCCATTTGGAAATCTAAGAGCAACAGGAGTCACAGAGGAGTTTCAGCCATGAGGAGCTTTGTGTGTCCATCTTCAACATCTTGTTACTGGCCACTCTAGTCTTCAGAGGCCATCAACTGCCAATGAGGAGATGCTCTCCCTGCAATGACCGTGAGAGAAAGAGGCGAGACGACAAAACGCCAGACCTATGGTGTCTTTCCCCTTCTAAAGAAGAGACCATGGGGGGCCTCCACTTCGTACTCCCTGCAGCAGCTGTAAGCTAAAAATCAAATGTTGGGGTGCAGGGTGCTGGAGAGCTTCTCTGTGATTCCGTTTCCAAAGGAATAGGGTGGGAGTGGGTGGTGGTGGGTTCCAGGAAGGACTTCTCCCCAAACCTTGGATTTCCACACACATGGCAACTTCCACCAGACCAACTGTGCTAGCTAACAACTAGCTAATGACTCCAGTGGAACCCTAGAGGATGTGTTAGAACTCAGAGGGACCCCTCTGTCCCAAGTTTGCAGCATCACTTCTGAGAGTTGGACCAGACACTTCCAGGTGACACTGGAAGGTCCCAGGACCAGAGGACCCTTCTCCCTCTCGCAGTCCTTTGGGCACTCCCAGAGGAGGCTGCTTGTGAGCTCAGCAGGAGCTGACGGGGCTC